AAACGCACTCACTATTGACAAAACTCATTGTAACAAAAGGTCACGGCCAGACAGACGGTCTACACACAGTCCGCCTTCTTCACCTCCCCGGCCGCAACGCCGCCGCCAGCCAGCCGTGAAGCGTGGCGCCGCCGCTTGGCGTAGCTGCGCTGCAGGCGGTGAGACCAAATCTGCAGCAGGCGGTGGCAGCGGTGTATGTGTATATGTGTGTGTGTGTAGTGATGGCACAGCCGATTGATGCAGACCACCATGTGTGCTGGGACTTGTGCACAAGCCACCTGAGATACCACCATGCCCAGCAACACACAGCTTCCCATGACGAAGCGCCAGGGGCCGGGGATGAGCGAGCTCCTGAAGGCAGGCAGACAGGCAGGCAGGCAGAGACGGTATGTTGGTGTGCGTGTGTAAGCCACTGTGTGGCATGGTTAATCGTGCATGGTGTGTGTGTTTGGTGATAAGATGTGTGAGAGCGAGTGAATGTGTGTGTTGCGAGGCCGGGCAGGCACTGGGCCAGAGTGTGATGACAAGCCTGCCAATCCCCACAACAAAAATGCAAGTAGGAGGCGCGCGCCCCTGTGCGTGTCATCCTGATGTGCGCACCTGAACCAGAGTGTAAAGACAAACCAGGCAACCACTGGGGGTGCCATCACGGAGCGTACGCTGATGAAGGCGACTGCAGGGGTGCTTGCTTGTGTGGGCTTAAAGTCTGGTAAAGCAAGAACTAGCTTGCAACATAGACTCCCCGCCGAAACGGGACGGGAACCGGGCGAAAGCAGAGAAAGCAATAAAACAGGGGTGGAGCAAGGCGACATGCAACGCAAGCAGCTGACAGGGCACGCATCGAAACGTGTGTATGACTGGCAAAGTGGCATGGCGCATTGGGGAGAAACGCAACGGTACGGGAGCATGGGCTGGCCAAACGGCAGTGCGGAACGCTAGGTCACTAGAAAAGCAGGGAAAGGCGCACTATGTATGCAATGAGGGCAGCCCCGGCTCGGGGCCGTTGAGAAAGCAGTGGGCGGGAGGGGGGAGGCCCCGGTGTGGGCGGGCCCCATCGAGAGGGGATGGGGCGCGCAAGCGGCCAGATGGGGCGGGGCGCGGGCGGCAGTAGAGTCCTGCGGCTGGGTGGGATATAGGGCAATGAGCGTTGAGCAGTGTGCGGCTGTCACACATTATACATAGCCTATTATAGCCTATTATAGCCTATTATAGCCAACAGTAGCCCACCCGTCCGCTCACAGAGAGCCATCGCGCCGGCCTCGCGCCGATCACCCCCACACCCCCACCCTCCACACTCACCCACCCACCCATCAGCATGTCAAGCAGCGAGGGAGCCAGCCTTGGGCAGCGCAGCCAGCAGCCGATCAGCAACCCGGCCTCCCGGGCATCCCTGCGGCCCGATTTCCCCCATATCGTGGTCAAGGGGCTCGCTCTGGAGGCCGGTGGGGGCCTGGGGGCCGCAGTCGCAGCCTTCGTTTTGTTTTGCCGGGCCAGCCTTCACCTGCCAGTGCCTGACTGTGTGCCTGTGACCTGCGTTGAGATTCGGGTGCGTGGGGGACGGGCGCAGCGAATGCCACCTGCGACTGACTCCTGCCCTGTGCGGCGCCCTGATGGGTGCCCGCCGCCGCCTTTCGTGGGCAGCATCAGAGGTCA